TTCCTTTTAAATTATCAAATAAGATGGAATCCGTCCGAAGAGATATATTGATTCGAAGATAATTTGCAATAATTATCTTAATAGCTTCTAAGTCATTGACGCGATGCTGTGAAACGAACGCCGCCGCTCGTGTGCTCATCGCGCCGAAAGGAAATCAAATTAAGCGTAATCACCGAATATAATTTACAGTCTGTGCGACGGAATTGTAAAGGTTGAGGCGTGACGGAAAATCACCGTGTAATTATTATCGCGTAGCTTTTATCGGACAATTAATCCGCGAATAATAGTTGCGCACTGCGAGCGCTGCGCTCGAATAAAAAAATCACAATTTTTCTCACGAAGCAATTATAGAAATTATCGTAAATCACTACGTCTATCATTATATGTACAATCTCAATCCTTTAGAATGTACTGAGAATATATAGAATCCCAGATCAATCGTGCTTCTTTTGTTTGCACATTCGTTTATCGATCTGTGGTCTATAATTGGTGAATATAAATGGGCGTTCGAAGTTACGCGTTAATTACAATTCGCCATTTTTATTCGAAGCTAAACTGTTTTCCCGCGACGTTATAACGTGGTAACGAGTTAACTACACGTTTGAAAAAACCGCATGTTCATTGTAAATATTATATGTAAATGTTATACTTATTATCTCGAATTAAATCGTCTGTAAAATGCGAGTTTTATTTGTAATTAATTGATCAGGATTCTCTGTCAGGGATTTATACTTTTGAACTTTTCAACTTAAAAAAAGATGGGAAAAGAACACTCCAATTGCAATCGTTTCTAAAACACCCTAATTTATAACATTCTTTCGCGCGTTTTTAAGACCATAGTTATAGCCACATAAATAACCGGCGGATATTAATGCGGTTCGTTTGTCTGAAGTCACCCGCGTGGCGATTCGATCTTCCGGATTTTTTGACTGTCGCCAAAACTTTAACGTGCGGCGATATCAAAATTATATTGTACCTATAACGCGTTTACATAAAGCGAAATAAAAGAAGATGACGATGCCTTGCGATCCTATTCTCACGTTCGCGATGTCTATTAATCATTGTCACCGACACCGCAACGCTCCGAACTGACATTAAGCTTCTCGCAGACGGGCAGAAAATCTCACGCGAAAGTCCGACACCGTCTTATTCGCGTGCAAGTGACTGCGCGGTTCTCTTCAACGAGAACTTTCCCGGTAAATATCGTGAAACTCGAAAGTCGATATTCACCTAACCGACAAACCGGTGAGAGGACCAGAGGGTTCGTCTTATCCGTAGTTTGGAGTAGAACTCCTGCCGCAATTTTCGCGACACATATGAGACGAAACCTGGTATTGAAGTCAGAATCGAAATACTCCGACTTATAGCGACGTATAAAAAAAAGAAAAGAAAACAAGACGATGATATCTCGAGTCGTCGCTTCTAAAGTCAAAATAATCCGAGATGTTTCTGTTTAAGTATTAAGCAATTAAAGTTTCAGCGTTTTAATTCATATGCTAATTCGTGGCTATTTATAGCAATCTTGGAAATCAAAAGATTCAACATGGGCATGGGCTTATTATTCAACGTGTTATTAAATAACATTACAAACGCTAAAAGATATGACCAAATTCAATCTTTAGCATTTCTGCCCTTAGTTTTCTTTTTTTTTCTTTTTTTTATTGTGGCCTTGCTAGCTTAATATTAAGGTAGCAGCGCCAGTTTTTTTTTCCGAAATGACACGGAATAAAAAATTCCTATTAATAGTTTGTATACAAATTAGTACAAAGTAGATACTAAGTAACCTGATAGGTCCAGTTTGATTTTGCTGATTTCGTCCTGCTGGCTTAATAAAGGTGAAAATATGTCCAGAAATCGGATATCGCGAAGCATGCGAGCACCCAAGATAAATATTCGAGACTGGACTGTCGACGGAACATTCGTGTGATTCGTTGAATCATCCTTAAGTATCAGATAAAGATCTAAGAGGAGGGCTGAGAAATAATTACGGAATGAATCCGCCTGATATCTGCATATTCCCGACGCGATGTGGAATATTCATTACATATCTAAGAATATCCACGAATATATTCGCAGGATACCTCCGATCGCTCCGAGTACACTCACGATACGAATACCGTGACGATCGGGCGAAATGTTATACCTCTGACATTTTCCACGAGAAACTCCGACCGAGCATTCGGCGACTACTCTGAAACGGAAGCCGAGGCGCGTCGATCACGTAAGTGTAAAATTTACCCAATGCAGAATGGAATTAATATTTTACCTGCAGATTTCTATATGTCAATTTCTCATAATTATACGGCGCGGAAGCGCTTCGAATGCAAATGTGACCGAAACGTCTATTTTAAACGCGTTTAAAGAGAACGAGCGTCAATTTCAAGACAGGGATTCCCATATTGAATCGACACGCCTGTTAAGGTTGTAAATTTTGCTGAAGCGCGAACTCGACTGAACGCTGGATCGCGCTATCAATTTAGGAATAAAGTGAAACGATATATCTTTTCGCATATTACGAGAGAGACGAGTGATTCTTCCTTCTCGCCCCGCGTTTTTTCGCGATAATATTGGCACTGGTATTTCTGATTGATACACACTGTTAAATTTGCAGTGTCGAATTATACTTAATTTGAGTCATTTTTAATCATTTCTATACTGAGAAAAAAAATATTTTATTCCAAAAAAATATTTATTAGGTGGCTCCTAATAGCATATTTATTTTTTACACATTTATTTAGAATTAGATATTTTTATTTAATTAAAATAAGAATATCTAATTCTATAAATAAATATGTGTAAAAAGTAAGTAAATATGCTATTAAGAGCCACCTAATAAATATTTTTTTGGATTAAAATATTTTTTTTCTCAGTGTAGGTCACCACTGCTCCTATTCAATATGTCGTTAATTTAATTAAACCAATAAAGTTAAAATAATACTGATTTAAATAGGATGGTTATTAGCATCAAAGTTAAATCGATAACTATTTAAACTGAAGAAAAAGGATTTTAAATGTTCCAATGGAAGCTGTGTTTAATTCAAATCCGGCAAAGAATCGGTGCGCAGTTTACTATGTTAGAAATATCTGTATATATAAATACACATATAAAATAGAAATATTATTACATTGTTAAATTCGTAGTGTCAAATTATACTCAATTTGAGTCATTTTTAACTATTCTTAGCTGTAGGTCGCCACTGCTTTTACTCAATACGTCGTTAATTTAACTACCCTAATACAGTTAAAAAAAATAATACTATTTTAAGTTAAATAATAAATTTCAACACACAAGGTAGTTAAAAATATCAAAATGCTGTTTAACTCAAGGTATCGGTTTAAATTTTATCTTTTAACAGTGTAGGCTACCAAGATCCAACTCTGAGACTAGAAATGGCATTCTCTTCTGAATTGATTGTATGTCATAACGGTCTTGTTACTTTAAATATTAACACTGCGCGGACACCGTGTTTTTGGAGCACTCACCCGGACGCCCTGGGACTTTTCAAGTGCAAAAGAGTCTTTGAAAAGGTTTCTGTGTTACACAAAAATCTATAAAAATTCATGTATCACCTTTGAGATTTCAGAAAGTGATTTCTATACTTACGTTAGGTTGGAACTGTTGCAACTTTTTCCCCCCGTTCCCGTGGGAATCATAAATAATAAATCGTGTGCTTCAAAAGGCCCACAGTGTCCACGCAGTGTTAAAAAACAATACTACTTTGCGTTAAAAAAAAAATAAATCTCGACACACACGGTAGTTTAAAATAACAAAATGTTATCTAAATCAAGATTTAAATCACTGATTTAAATTTCATCCTTTAACAGTGCATCCCCAAATCGAAAGATCTCCAAACGATAAGCGGGTCGTGCCCTTTCGTACGCGAGCGGACGGGATAATTTTTGTTTTCCGAGTATCGGGCAAAGTTTCACGACGCGGCGTAATCGGCATCCTTGACAGAGAGCACTTTTCCCGACGCGTCGTCGGCAGCGAGAGCTCAACGCCGGCGACGATCAAATCGATCGGTCTGTCGGCCGGCCAACACGGGAATCTAATCTCAGATCCTTCTACGAAGAGGCTGTCGGACCTGCCTCTCGGCGGCGTTCGGTCAGTGTCACCAACGATCTGCTCCGGTATAATTCGACGAGTACCTTCTATCTGATCAATTAGAGAGAAAAACGTCATTTACTCAGTAAACTGCGCGCCGATGTTTTGTTGATCTTTGACAGCTCCCAGCTGGAACAGTAAATCCACATACTTAAATCGCTAATCGATTTAAATTTTGATCCTAATAAGCATCCTTATTAAATCACTGTAAAGAAAAAAAGGGAAAAAAATTGCTGTTTTCTCCTCGTAACCGTTCAAACAAATAAAACAATAACAAGTAGTCGTTCGACTAGTCGAATAGAAATTCGATTGAACTTGAAGCGGGAGAGACGAGCGAGAAGAAGGCGGTCGAGCGGCGTGGCCAGCGGGAGGCCGGGAGCGAGTTTTTGAGTTCTCTCGTGAAGAAGAGAGGCGACCGAAAGCAAGTATGCACGCATGCAGGCGTTTATTTACGTCGGTCGCGCGCGAGAGGGGCGGACGGGACCCTCCGTCGCGTCGCCCGCTCATCCGGAACGCACGATCGAAGCCGATGAGGACGACCTAGAAAGCGGCGGCATCCCGTTGCACTTGACACGACGCGACGCCGCGCCGTGCGTGTGCGTACACTGCGTACGTCCGCGCGAGAAATATACAAGAGCTCTCGCACGAGTATCGAGTTGCATCTCCCGTATGCACGCGTACTTTTCGAACACTCTCCGGGAGGACGATACGCGCGCGTTGCGTTGCTCCGTTTCGCGCTCCAAGGAGCGCGGCGCGTCGCTAGACCGAACGGAGCGTAATTAAAGAAAAATAGAAGGATGAAAAGGAAGTAAAGAAGGGTGTTTCGGAGAAACCCCCGGCGCGCCGGTTCCCCGTTCCCCGAATTGACGACCGTGACGGACGAACGTGTTCTTACCTGACCTTCCCGCCGCAGAATTGACAGAGCGCGCCCTGCCAGCCCTCGCGGCACACGCAGGTGCCGTTGACACAGTCGCCGTTTTCACAGGTGTTGGGGTCGCAGCCCGCGTCCAGCGTCGGCGACGACGAGGAGGCGGAGGTGGCGGCGCTTACGTGGACCACCCAGCAGACGAGCGCCGCCCACAGTAGGAACGGCGCCCACGGCACGGCCGTCGCGGTCGCGTTGCCGCCGCTGCCATGGCCGCACCGACACCGCCACCGCCGATCGCGATCCTGACCGCGCCATGCGGCGCCGCTGCCGCTGCCGCCACCGCCGCCATTGTCACCGTCGCCGTCGCTGTCGTCACCGTTGCGACGACGTTTCCGACGGTACTTGGACTTATATAGAAACAAAAACATCTGCACGATCTCTGCCATTTTGGTAGGCTTCCATGTCAGGGACAATGGCCGACGGCGACGCGCCGACGAGGGACGCGCATACGGGACGAAGACGACGACGACGAAGTACCGACGGGCAAGAGACACCGGGACCAAGGCTTGTCCCTCGACCCGTACTTGTTCTCGCGCGACTCGAGTCTCGAGACTCGACTCGACTCGACTCGACTCGACTCGACTCGGCTCGGCTCGGCTCGACTCGACTCGCCCTACGGCGAACTCGCGCGACGGCGATTCGCTACCACTCGCTATCGCTACTGCTCGCGCCGCGCTGCTCCGTTGCATGCCGTGGTCGCCGACGCGCCGCACCGCGCACCGCGACCACACGCTGCTCGAGAATCGAGGGGGAGCGCGGCGCGGCCACCGCCGCGCCACGCTGCACCACGCGGTGCGCGCTACACTTTCTCGAAAATCTCGACGGTTCGACGGGACTTTCCTTTCTCGGGAGGGACCGCCACCATCCGACGTCCGACTTGCCATTTCGCGCGAACACGAGGAACAACATATTCACAATCCGAAATTATTTAATATATGAAATTCATTAACATATATGTAATTTATTTAACACAGAATAGACGAACAGAGGAATAGCGCTAAGGAACAGTGATTTTATTCTATTTCTATATGCCATATGCACAATGAATATGTTTAATATATTAAACACTGTTCTCTATTTCTTTCATTGCAGTGTGCAGCCCCTTACACGATTTATTTTTTATTGATATCCTGCTATATATTTTCTGTGCTTGAAGTGAGAATAAATATACATCCATATCTAAAAAGGGTATAATTAAAGAGAAAATAAGAAAAAAGATATATGGTACGAAAAGTTCACCTGCAAAGATGAACTTTTGATACGATATATCGCACTCATTAAAATTAGCGGTTAATATATATAGTTAACAGAAAAAAAATGTATATACAAGGGATGGCTCATTTTAATTTATAATCCACTCAAGTATCTCAAAACCCATAAGTTTTAGAAGAAACTTTTTAAACAAAAATTGTTTGCTTCGGAGGGGAAAAAAAGACAGGAATATTGTATTATTAGTTAGACCTTGGAGTCATTCCATAACATTTTTGTTCAAAAAGTTTCCTTCTAAAAATGTCGAGCCACCGGAGGCCTGTATAATTATATATAAAATATGTCCGTGTGTTTTTCATTCTCTTGTATAATCTGTCCAATGTAAAGAAAATAATAAGATCGAATTAAAAAATAATTAGAAAAATCACTTTTATATTCTTTTACAAAAAGTAAAATTAATTGCAGCGATTAAATTATACGATATTCTATATAAATATTATACATATATATAAAATTTTAAAATTAAATAATTTAATAAAACATGTTTAAAATAAATAGAAAATAATTTATAACAGAATTTTCATGATTGTACCACGGCAATATTTTATCCACTTATCCTTCAATTGCAGAGTTATATGCAAATAAGAAAATTTGAGCGATGAGACTTTTGAATAATGCATGCGAAAAGAATGAAGACCGCAAACGAAATAAATAGATAAAATCAGAATAAAATTTACTATAATTTTATTATAAAGAAGTTAAACTTAAAGAAAAACAATATTGTATATTTTGACGAAAGTTAATAATAAAAGTTATGAAACACTCTAAATAAGTCACGGAAGCAGAGAGTGATCCCTGATGTTCGCTCATCCCACCCGACCCACCCACCCGCAGATTCCACAAGCGAATTCACGGAATTCACCCCACTTGCGACTTGCGACATGCTTCCACATGTTTCGTAAAGCGCCGGCGCCGCCGCGCCGTCGGCCGTCCAGCGCCATGCGTAACAACTAGGTTAGGTTCCTCATGGTATGCGAGACGTCGTGTTGATAAATGCGCGGACAAAGATACAGATTTACGCCGGCGAACGTAAGGAACCTTCTGGAGCAGTGACCGGTCAGACACGAGCAGAAAATAATCCGTAATACCAGCGTGACATCCTGACAGCCGTCCGCGCAGTTGGCGCGACGAGGTGCCGAACGGGGTGCCGCGGTGAGGTTAGGCCATGGCAAAGTACCTGATACAGATCATCGTGATGGGCACGCAGGTCGTCGGCAAGGCGTTCGCGCGCGCGTTGCGCCAGGAGATCGCGGCGAGCCAGGAGGCGGCGCGGCGGGCGGGCGGCGGCAGGCAAGGAGCGCAACACGTCGCCGCCAACACCAGGACCGGTCTCACCCTGGAGGAGGCCCTTCGCATCCTGAACGCGGAGCGTCCCGATCAGACGGAGCTGATCGAACGAAATTACAAGTACCTCATGGAGGCTAATGACAGGGTGAAGGGCGGCTCATTCTACCTGCAGTCCAAGATCGTTCGTGCCAAGGAACGTATCGACGAGGAGCTGAAAAATCAAGGGACGACGACACCCCCGCCGCCACCTCCACCGTCGCAGGAAGGCTCGACGAGCAGTCAGGAAGCTTCCAAGCAGCCATGAGATTCGCCCCTAGTCTAAATTTACCTACTCTAATTCTAGACAACTGTACATAACGTCATAATAAAATACTAGATTCTGATATCAGTTATAGAATGGTTTCAAAGTATAACATTTTTTTGTCCATTATACATAAAAACTTGTAAATATGTAATATGATCTATGAGAAAATCTGAGTTTAAAATGTATATTTTGAGCATACACTGTTGACTTTTGTGAGAATAGAATATAGTTTCCATATATTTTTAGGAATATACTGTTGCATCATTGCATACTGTTGGGTTTTTATACTGTTGCATCATTCTATATTGAGTACGACGGTGAATAAAAGTAGAAATATTTTCATATATATGTATATGTATTCAGGAGATATATTGGTTAATATAACAGTCTTTCGAAGTTCTCGCTCTTATACGAGACTTTTCAGTTATAATATTCAAATTCTAGCGCTACTGTTTTAATCCAGCTGCCTTCGCATCGTCCTCATCGATTCTATTTTGTGCTTGGCGTATAATTAATCGCTCTTGATTGTGGCGTACAGACCATAAACTTGGCAGATGCTTCGGTTTCATCGTGAAAAGAAAATGTTCTCTCCACATACGTTCCAACTCGACGAGTCCACTTTCTTGCTTTTGAAAAAATTGCACAACCTGTCGAATAAAGATCGAAAAACAAAGTAGTATAAAGATTTCACAGATTTGTCTTGATGCTATCAAAACGAGTACCTTTAAGCCATGCGGCTGATACTTGTTAGGTATCGGTTTCTGGATCAGTGCGTTCTTCAGCTGCTCGTTCAGGGCATTGAGCAGATCCGGCGTAATTCTCTGCTGTCCCGTATGTTCCAGTATGTAATTTTCATACTCTTCGCGTTGCCGCTGAGGCATCGTGAATTTTTCCCTCAACGCTTTGACAGCCGAATGCAACTTTCGACGGTTTTGCAAGTAGTTGTCTCGTACGTGTGTTATCGGCCCAATTAGTGGTGCGTCACACATGTCTGCTAACTTTCTTCTGAGCTGCAGATCATGGTTATTGCTAATTTCGTGACAGGCAGGACATAATAGTAATACATCATGTGATTGATGTGCCTTCATTACCACTGAAAAGAATAAACACATTTCAGATTATAAATGTAGACATGGGGAGAACTATATATTCTTTTACATGTATTATCTTGCAATGGTGTAATTCGTTAATCAATGCAAGTATTATACTTTTGCTATGTTTATTACATAATGAATAAATTTTTATTATAAAAATGCTTACGTGGAAAGTACTTCCGATATTCTCGCGGCACAACATTTTTCCTAATAAATTTCTCAGTGCATCCACAGACTACACATTGATTAAGTTTCACCTGTGTATAATATTGTCCAACCTCTCCCAATGCTCGGCCGGATGGCTCAAAGTTTAACCTCACTGTATATGGATCTGTCTCCACAAGTTTTCCTAAATTTTTCGTAATATACCACTCCGCCTTCTTGCGATCGCATGTACACAATATATCTCCATCAGGCGCTTGTAAATAACAATTATGATATAACGGCTTGATTCTAGTAGGTATCGCATTTTTACGATCGTTAATAGTGTTTTTATCTACTACTACTGATTTACTCTTGGCATTTAAAACATTATTACTAGTAATACTGTCCGCACTTGGTGATCGCTGAACCTTGAACCTTAAACAGACATATATTTATGTGTAAATTTTTCTCTTACATACATATATGTGAAATTCTAAACTGTAATTTATAAATTTTTATACCTCGTATCGACTGTTTTAGCAGGTACACCATGAATCCGCACACTTATATCACTACTAAATATATTATATAAGTAAATTCCTACTCTCTGCCATAATGAATATTTCTTTTTCTCTTTTTGCCTTATCTGCAAATCAAATCCAGGTATTGAGAAGCGCAACTTAAAATTATTTACAATTTGCGTATAAAAAGGACGTACAAAAAAATTTCTTACCTTATGATAAATGATAACAGATGCAAGCGCATCACAAGCAGCATACGCAACTTGTTCGTCGGTTAAGGTGCTAGCATCCCAGTCACCACACCTGATTTCTATCATTTTGTCCATCTCAATGTTAAGATATTCTAAACTCATGGCAGCTAAGCTTTTCCGGCTCGGTAGATCGAGACTTTCAGCTAAGGTTCTTAAATCAAGAGTTCCATTAACTCTACATCCATAATCCTTAACAATTTTCTGTCCGTCTTCGAATGAAGAGATCCCCACTTTAAGAATGTGCTTACTAGCTAATAATTCCTAGAACGCATAAATGTAACGTCATTAAAATTCAATATTATTGCACAGCTGCGGATAATCTGATTATGAACTACTTGAAACTTTACCTTAAGTTTAGGCGGAATGTATCCAATCTTTCCGATGCGAAACAAAGCAACTACTCCATTGAAAGTAGCCAGTTGTAACAGAGAGACGGGTCCCTCTTTGACCCATTCGCAATCAAAACCCAAGACACCATCAGACAGATCACTATCAAAGAAGCATATAGAACAAATTAATAACTTTGTTGAATAAGAAATCACAAATAACTTTCCTACTTCTTCTAGAAAGTATATTTCATAAAGCAAATTTGAGAAACAATCAACGTATAGAAGCAGAGGAAGTGTAAATTTCTGTTACAAGGGGAAACTGAGAAAGAAATTTGTCTTATCCCTTCTAATTAACTGTAACAAGATTTATTTTATCGTGGGAAGAAAATTCCGTTATAAGATAGGTAATTAAGACATAGATTCAGGCATATTTTCTTTCATATTATAACGATCGCTAATTTTGCCAGCCACTGTAATAGGTATGAGCAGATCTAGATCTTTCTCGGAGAATCCCAAGGACACCTTTATACATCGTCTTTCAAATACAATGATAATCGCCTTGGTATTCGGTATGTAGTCTCTCCAGAGAAAAAAATGTAAACAGTAAGGAAAGTCACAAGAGACGACAACGTATGTCCGTTGTGATGCCTCAGGGTTCATAAGATGTTGACGTGCTACATATTATAAACACTTCAAACCGTTAATAACCGATAAAATTTCGCTACGCTTACCAACGAATACGCTGTATGGCGTAATCGCATTTTTCCGGAGAGTCCGCCAGAATAATCTTGTCTAATACAATTTTAATCTCCTTGTTGTCGTTAGCATCCTCATTATTATTATCATCGGTATCTTGCTTATCGCGTTTGGCCTTATTGCTGCCATCTCGATTTTTGATATTCTTATACAGATGCTTGACGCTGCGAAGCACGTTGTCGCGATACTTCGACGCCAGAAAAACGAGTCCCACGGTCACGCAAACGAGAAACATGTTGTTACGTGCGGGAACCATTAATCCAAGGAGAGGGGGAGGAACGTTTTGAAGACGCGCAAAAAATTCGATTTAAAAAAATCAACGTTATATATGTACAATTCCTTCGTTACACGATATACATATATAGATATATACACGCGCGCGCGAGTTACTCCAATTTCGCGTTATACAATTCTCAAATAAATGTCGATCGCTCCGGACGAGCGATCGAACTATATATATCCGCACCGATTGTAACGATTTTTCAGGCAACTCGCGGCACTCGGCACATCGATCGCGATCACAGTGATAAACTCTCTCTCTATCTCTCTTTCTCTCAGATTCGTCTCGAAGGCATTTATATAAAATTAACGTAACCGGGCAAGAAGCGCGGAATCATTCGACTATATAGATAAATCTACGATTATCTGAAGTCGCGGTCGCTCCTGCTCGAAACTGCTCTGTATAAAACAATCATCTCGGTGACCAGCTCCGATCCCATTGAAATTTTCGACGCGAACGAGGTTCAAGGGACCCCGTAGCTAAAAGAATGACCGGCGCACGCGGCTACGGGTATCGCGCACGACTAACCGCCTCCCGCTCGGCTACGTTTATCTACCCGGTAGATTCTGCCGGTGCGATATCACGAACACGAATCACCGGTATTTGTTCATATGGTGTGGTGGTACGATGACTTCTTTCGATTTCTCCCTTTCTCCCTTTCTCTCGATTCTGGAGAATCGATTTCTGCAATCGAGAATAATCGTAAGTTCGCATCCGCGGTGGAAAAGTGTCAGAATTTTTCAAATTATTAATCAGAATTTCTATAAAAACTTTCTCAGAATGTATTCAAAATTTTTCAGATTTTTTTAATTTAAATTAAAAGATTTTCTAGAAAAACTGACAAAATAATAATAAAATATTTTACATTTTTCCCGACTAATTAACACCATTAGGCTGCGCGTCTGTTTCACTTCGAGTGCAACTAGGTGCAGATGCGAGGAAGAGAGCTCTCCGCGATTTCCTGCGTTGCGCTCTGTATTTCCGGCTGATATTCTCGTACGGTTTCCCATCTACCATCATCTACGTTGCTCCGGTTGCTCGTGAACCTTGTTTCCGCGCGTCAACGTCAATTTCGGCGCTACTCCAATTTCGCTTTTTAGGTTATGAGCAGTATTTGTGTATGATCCCGAAAGTAAAGAGATAACTTCCGTGAGATCCTCGTCGTGGGATAATGATAACCTGCGTGATCAACAGCTGTTCCTCCACTGAACGTACGAGGATAGACGGCAACACGATCACATTCTTCCCCTTTCCGGAGGACGATCTGTGAGTGATTCCTCTACCATTGACATTGACGATCAACGCAATTGGTAATAGCTAATGTTTCTCTGTTGAATGTTAGGAGAAAGAATCAGTGGCTACGTAACTGCGACTTAGCGTCCAGTAACAAGGAACCGTTGCACATTTGCGAGCTTCACTTTGAGAGGGTCCACTTCACCGCGTCCAAAGATTTGAAGCCTAGCGCTGTTCCCACTCTGTTCGGTAGAATAAAAGGTTTGTGAGCCTAGCTCGAACGTATACATCTCTCTCTATTTTTCATATTATTAATCAGAATTTCTATAAAAATTTTCTCAGAATGGTCAGATTTTTCGTACAAATTTGACTGTTTTTCAGAAAAACTTTAACAAAAAAAGAATAAAATTTTTTTTGCCAATATTTGCAGAAATCTGAAATATGAGAAAATATGTGCAATTTATCAGAAATTTGTATATATACGGATACTGAAATATTCCAAAAATCTTTATCCAATTATTTCTGAAAGTATCTGAGAAAGTATATATATTTTTTCAGAATTTTTCATAAGCCTCAATTCTTATAAAATTTATGAGAAAATATGAAAAAATTTTTTACCAGAGTATTCAGACGTTTAACAACTTGCTTATAGAAAATGTTATACTTACAAATATACCCCCCCCCCCCACACATACACACACACACACACACACACACACACACACAATTTTTTTTGTTAATAGTATACATTTTTCTCTATTAGTTTTTCAAGTAATGATTTAACAGTAAAAATACTTGCAATGGTTTATAGACGTAGCTTACAATTTTTTATTTTAAAGTTATATATCAAACTTTCTATTTCGAAAAGGAAAGCAAACAAAGCTTTCTTTATTCTTATAATAAGATTTTTTTAATTTATTGTATAGCCTTATAATAATAATTATATATGTATCTCTTTGCAGACGCACCGAAAGAACAGAAAGCAGAGAATGTATCACAGGCAACACCACCAAAACAGAGAAAGTTAGATGAACATTCGCATGCTTTAGTGACACCACCGCAGAGTCCATCCATGCAGGATAATGTTAGCTTATTTTTTACATTTAACGGCAGTAATATATGTTTATATATAACGTTAATAAGTCATTGATATGTATTTACATTCATGTTTCTATTGTTATATTACAGATTGAGGATTTATTTAGTGGAAATAAAGCAGATATGTCAATAGATCATGTAATAGCTATAAATGGTTCTGCCAAATCGACATCCATAACAAGGAATTCTAGTGTAAAAACATATCGTTTGATAATACAGATTGATAAAATACGAAGTAAACCAGGCCCGAAGTGTAAAAAGGTACCGCCTTCGGTCAAATTTGATAATGAAACGATGAAAGAGACAAAGGTGAGTGAAAGCAGAACGGAAAGGAAACTTCGGCCGTTACAGATTAGACAGCCCTGTGCTATGGGTAGTTGCAAGCTGAAAAGATGCCTATACAAATCAGCACTAGCATTTCAATGTGATGTGTGTGGTAAATGCTATTCAACCAAGAAAGAGGATGCCAAGAGCTACTCTTGCACTAAGTGTTCCGCGACTTTCCCTAATCCGCAGTCATTATATTTACATATCAGAAAACATTTTATGTGCGATATCTGCCTAACAGAATGTAGCTCTCAAATGGCGTATGACAAACATATAAGATTGCACGTCAGTACCGATCCGAAATGTCCGTACAAATGTCACCAGTGTCTTAAGACATTTGAGGTGAAAGATGGTGTTAAGCAGCATTGCCTACTAGAGCATCCTAAAATAACTTTACAAAACACTGTCCTTCAGGTTTCTCCACCTTCTGTAACTGCAATAGTCCCTCAAAAAAGTGATTATTTCTGTATCAACTGCAATATTAGTTTCACAAGCGATCAAGCTTACAGGTGAGCTTATAATTTTCACAGAAAGAATATAATTGGTCTTTAAGAAAATTTTGTTGTAAATATTATGTATTGTATAAAGCATAATTATGAGCATGCAAAATGTGCTTATATAGTACAAAGTAAATAATAATTATTTAATAACTAACAGTCTAATAATAAATAACACTTAAGATTTTATTTTACGAAATATTGATGTATTACATATGTGTTTCTTTATACATTTTTGTGCTAATATTACAGGAATCACATAAATTCTCATGGAAAGAAAGAGGGCTTTACGTGTAACATTGCAAGCGAGGGTAACAACATAATACCTGTACCAAATCCTTTAACCGGGAGTCAAATAGGTTTTCTTCAAGCGGTGAAGTTTAGTTGTCGAGTGTGCTCTAAAGAATTTGACAACGTTGGGGAAGTTGACTTGCACACAAGGACTCACTTGGAGGTACCTGAGGAAGATCTCAAATGTAATATATGTAAGAAGCTTTTCAAGAGCAGCGCAGCGTTCCAGGAACATTTAAAACATCACTTGTCGCTCGCACATCCCTGCCCAATTTGCTCGAAAGCCTTTATCAATAAAACTACTTTAAACATACACTTAAAGACGCATCCTGTGTCGTCAAAGACGCATCCTGTGTCGTCGCAGTAATACAATTTCATTTTGACACTTCATCATGGATATTTTTCGTAAACGTATTCTTGACAAGGCTATTACATATAAAATACAATGTTTGAAGAACTATTTTTGTTTAAAGAACAATGTTTAAAAAGTAATGTTCTATTATTAAGGATTATTATCAACGACTATTATCAACCAGTGTGTCACTTATGTGTGATACTTACATTGAACTTTAGTAGTCATGCAACATTACGAAAATTTAAACATTTAATGTTTGCTCGTTAACATTAAATCAATAATTAAATCCAAACAGGATTCTGCATGTTAAAATCATTTTTATTAACTGATATACAACATGGCCTATTTTAAAATAATAATTGACATATGTGAATAAGTTTTAAGAAATTTAGTTTTATATAGATTATGTATTCAGTGAATAAATTTCCTTGATAGAATTGTCTTTATCTTTTTTTACATAACTATACGTTTGAAATATGATTTAACTATGCCACTAGAAAGAGAATATGTAAAGCACATATTTCTGTAAATATCAAAGTTATATTAGATAAATAAATTTTTTTTACAATTTCTCTAATAGTCATTGGTATTTTTTAATGTGTGTATATTGTATACATTCTATATAAAATAAAATTTAAGAGCATACATAGTGTATATGTGTATTATTCTATTCAAGAAATAAATAAGTATTATATAACTATATGTTTGTACTTATTGATATTTCCGAACGTAATTATCAAGAAACACGGTAGTGTCTCCAGCCAAGTACACGCACCGTGACGCGACGAGCAAGAATTTTTGTTACTTGTCGAAAGTTATTTTATTAATTTTTTATATGTTATACGTTTATATTTATTTTTTTATAGGTACTAATTTTTTAAAGAATAGTTTAATTTTTATATTGTAGACGTTTCTAGCAGTTTATTAAACTTTTTCTGATTAAACCTTTTTTTTATGAACAAAAAGGAATCAATTTTTGCTACTTCAGTTTTCGAAATAATAAAGAGCCAAGATGATAATATGAAAATAAATAATGAAAGAATCAAGAAGTATTGTGTCAGTAATTTTGGTTTATAAATTATAAATCTTAAAGCACGTGCGCGGTGCGCGGTGTGTCGTATAAGGAAAATTATGAAATTTAATTCACGGTAATGCGATAATTCTTTAATTTTAATACAGCATTTTTCGATTTTTCTTTTTGACAGACGAACCAATCTTTTTCTAAAACAATAGAAAGTTATAAGCGTTCCAAAAGCGATTTCTAATTATTCGCATTAGCGACCGTGTGTTGAATTATTCGCCTATTTTTCGTAGGATATCGGTTGGAATGACAAGAGTGACGAGAGTGATAGAGAGACTCGGGACCGTGAAGAGGGATACAACCGCGGATGAATGAACGAATGGCTGAGCGAACGAATGGCGATAATAGTGTCCTTTGAGGTGCCGCGATGCTCTGGTGAAAACGCGCGCAGAATGATCCTGATTTTTACAAACGAAAGGAACGTCCAGAAGTCACCGGCAGCGCGTAAGGGGGCACCTGGGAGAAGGGAAACCGCCCCCGGTGCCTAGGGCCCAAAAGGTGCCGACGACGGCAACCCGCTGCGGAACAATCGCGCCGATGTTCACAGGTCGCCCACTGTCAACGCGGACCACTTCAAACGTAGCCGGCCTCAATGTGTTTATTTGGCCAACGTCAAATTTACTCGTGGAAAAGGGGAGCTCGAAACCGATACGCCGCGCCGGCCGCGGGTATACACGGCGGTAGCATGTAGCATCTCGCCGTTCTGTTTCCCTGTCGCCCGAGAAGACAGAGAGCCGATCGTTTTGTATCGCGGGGGATTCGCCCCGCAGTCATGGGGCGTGGCTCGTGTAACCCCGTTGTAAGCTCTTGACTTTCGCCGAGTTTAAATCGAGCACGGGCGTAGTAATCCGATAAAATCCGATTGCCGTCGGTCTATTGCAACGGTAAGAATTGGAAGGTCCCGTGGAACGATTGCGAGTTCTCGTCTCGCGAGGTTTCATATATAAATCTGACGTACGAATAGAACATTACGTTCAACGACGAAAACTCATATCATTTTTGTTATTCCATAAATATAAATAATGCATTCTTCAATCTCATTCTGATTAATTATTGTATTATTATATTCTGAGAATTATATCCTTCGACTTGTTTAGGTACTTGATTGCGAAGCGGTGAACGAAAAATGTCAGAATAAGAAAGTATTTGCACATTAAAATAAATGAGGTATTTGATTTGTTACGAAACATATAGAACTGATAGCATGTGAAATATTTTAAGAAAATTGGTGATTATTTGGGAATAAATTTATAGTTTATAGAATTTAGATAATTTATTTCTATTACAACTATACGTATATAAAAATAAATAGGTAGATAAATAAATAAATGTATGTATATGTATATATACATATATTTTTATCTTGATCATGCCAAATCAAGGATCGAAAATTGGTAGCATGACTAATTAAATATTAAGTATCGAATCACGTATATATTTCTTATATTGTGTACAGAACTCTCAAAATATTTTCTATATATCCATGGCAATTCTTAGATTTACATTCTCTACTAGTTACATAATTACGCGACCATTTGAAATGATTTGAATACATTATAGAAATAGATTTTTTTCGAACCACAGCTAGCTTCTTTTTTGCAGATGCATTAAATATTAAAAAATCTGCGTACATTTTTTATAAATTTATCTAAATTTGAAGTATTAATAAAATTAATTGAAAATATAGGGAATAAACCTTAGGGATTATATAAATTTTGATATTTTATAAAATATAATTTATCTATATTATAAAGCAGTAAAATATTTTTGAACTAAAGAATAACATGTACGACAGTAAATTGAATTAAATCAAAATTATTGAATAGAACAACGAACAGTTTTTACGAAATTGCAAGGAGTTATCAGATGTAAATGCTCAATTACAAGATGTTATGTTTAAAGCTTAATTTATTATGAATTAAGTGATAATACTTATTCTTCCTGTAGTTTCTTTATGACTTTGTCATTTCTTCACAAACTCGAGATATTGTCAAATCCCACTGTCAGTCCTGTATTATAGAATGCGTGATGGCGTTTAGCAACGCTTTGTTACGTTTAGAATAACGGCTAGCAAGACGCCAGGCATCCCTGAAAAAGTTTGGCTTTTTAATTCGATATGGTACCTTTCGTTTAAGCGTCGAGGTGTGCGTACACACGGGACTCAAAATCAGAGGATTAAGAGCGACATAGGGTCGTTGCGTGACAAATCACGTAATTCGCCATGGACACTTCGTGAAAATAGGCTTCGAAATGTAGGTTCGGGGAATATCTCTCAATTTGATTCCATTTAGTATCTAATGTATTTTCGCAAGTATTGTTTAGTTCATACGATTTATAACGAAAGCTGATCATGAAGAATGTTTTAGGGAAAAAAAAACTGAATATTAATTTTCAGATTTAAAGATTGTTTTCTACACACAAAAAAACGACTATAATAATTATTTATTTCTTCCATCTATAAAGGCGCAACAGTATCACTAACTTGTTATCTAAACTGTAGCGAGCTGCGAGATATTGTCTTTATATTTTTTTCTGATTTATTGAAAAAAGCACGTACTTTTTAAATCGTACTTTTTAAGTGAATGAGTAGGTACAGTAGATAGATTTATTTAATTTCAGCTACAAAAAGCCAAGAAATGGACTTGGTTTACAATATACCTTATATACACTCATACCAACTTTTTTAACTTAACGCGTGCAAATATTAATTTATTATTCCGTACTTTCTTAAATTTCTTTTAGAAAAACCATCCTTTAAGCCCTAAACGACTAAATCCATTATTTGCACGTTAAACTCACAACCTAAACTAAAAAATATTTGAACCTAGTCCGCTTCAGCAGTAGGCCAAGAAACGGACATTATTCACCTATACACACACATACACACACACACACACATACCTTCATACAACAACGCGCAACAACTAATATTAATATTCAATATATTTCTAAATTCTTCTCAAATCTCCTTTAATCCAGGAAGAACCAATTATCTCGCTTTATTTCTAAAATAATTTCTTGCATCCTAAAACTTATAAAACTTGAATTCTAATGCATTCTCTCTATAAACCTTATATACTCCAGAACCTATCATATACCTTAAACTCATATCTTCCATAACTTTTGCGTGCGAAACTCAAAGCCTAATCTTAAAACTACAAAACATAAGTCTCGATGAGTAGGTACAGTAAAGAAACAAGCGATCTTCTGGTGGAACATTATATTAGAGCTCTTCGGAAAAAATCCCAAAAGGCGATACTTATAAATTTGCACGGCACTTTCCTGATATTTGTCGAAAGGGTTGTTTGATCACAAAGCCAGCAAATATGCAATTCACGCATCGGTGACCGACATTCGCCGTCGGGAAGCGTATATTCTCGATTCAACATTCTCATATGTTTATAGAGAACGTTCGGTTTTGATAAAGTTATAATAGATGATATGTGCATTATTATTGTAGAAATGAATAAAAAAGATCAAAGTAAAAAAATCCAGAAATATTCTTTTTTTATTGTATTAACATAAACATTAGATATTCAATATTTAATGCAGTGATAGAAACACTTTGGCGTTAACGGATTAAGCTATTGCATCAATTTTTTACCGAATGCTATCAAATATTATTGAGATAAAATGATGTAACATTAAATAATATAATTACATTATTTGACAATAATTAAATAACATAATATTAAGTGAATAATGTAATTATTTTGCAATAATTAAATAATGTAATAATAGTCTTTATCATTACATGACTTTCGAAAAAGATGAGAAAGGAATTTAGTATTTAAAGGAAGATGAATTAGGTACCTGAATATACATTGCCGATATGTGCCAATCATACTTGTATTTTATTTTTTGTTGGTTTCTTATACATCGAAATTAATAGAAATTCGTCACATTTCGTAAATCTGTAAAAGATATGTGACATGAAAATGCAGGATAATTCTCTGTGAAAACTACTATGAAAGAATAGACATTACGACCTCATATCAATGCTCACGATCGCATATGCTGCGTAAAATGTAAACGCATGAAGATCGCTTACGACCACTCATCCTCTGAAGAAAAAGACTGAGGTCGATCCAAGAAAGAGGAGGAGCATGTTCCAGAGAAACGATAGGAGGAGAAGAAGAGAGTGAGGGAGAAAGAGTCTCTCTTTTGATACCGGGCACGGGCCATCTGGCAGAACGATCTTTTATTATAGTATCTATTCCTCCTGTAGC